GATAAAATGAGTATGACCTTGAAGTGATGAAAAATGAAATATATTCCAATTTTTGTTATCTGTTAGGCTCAGACTACACTTATAATCCTTCATGTATAATTCCAGTAGTAAAATATCACCGGATTGAGCAGCATAATGAATTGGTAGCTTACCATTACTGTCAGCTTGATGAGGATCTAACTGATAGGTAGTTATTAATTCTTTAACAAGAGATAAGTTAAGAGGCACTGAGGCATAATGTAAAGCAGTGAGGCCATCCTTAGTAGCTGCAGTAGGAGACAAACCTTGTTCAGTAATAAGATACTGAACTAAATCAAAGTTACCACTCCATGCAGCATGATGTACTAATGTGCGTCCTTCATTATCTGTTTTATTAATATCACAATGCTGTACCTCAATGAGATATTGAGTGATATCAATATAACCATTACGACAAGAATGATGAAGACATGTCATACCATCATTATCAGTGATATTAGGATCACTGCTATAATCATTAATAAGATATTTAACAGAGTTAATACTACCTGACCAGCAGGAGTAGACTAATGGTGTACGACCAGTATAATCAGTATCATTAGCATTGAGATTATACTGAGATATGATATAACTTAATACACTAGTAGAACCTGACCAGGCAGCATAATGCACTGGAGACATACCATCATTAGTTAATGTACAATTGATATTATATTCTTGTAATGCTTTCACTAGTAATGTACTGCCATTGCGTGATGCTAAATGAAGTAATGAATTACTATCATTTGTAATGGCATTGATGTTAAAGTTAGGGCAATTACTAGCTTTCTTCAGAAGTGAAGAAAACATTTGTATTCTTTTTTTTCTACTGATGAAATCAATATTACACCTTATATAAGTATTGTTACTATGAATAATTGGTGCATCATTTTGCTCAAGAACTTTATGATAGACCATACCAGCTTTAGCAAAACTAATTGAACTACATGCTGAATGAAGACATGACCAACCATGATTATTAGTAGTTAATAAAGACTCAATACCTTGAATACTAACAATATACTCAACAACTGATGATGACACATGCCATGAGGCTCTAAAAAGTGGAGTTTGGCCATTTGGATTCTTCATGTTAATGGCTAGAGTTAAAAGGTACTGGTAAAGCTCAACGGAGTTATGTTTAACTGAATAATGTAGCACATTAAATCCATAATTATCAATTGAACTTAATGAGAAAAGATTTAGCTTTTCAAGTTTGTGAATTAAAGCTATCTTTCCACTTTGACAAGCTAGCAATGATAAAGATGCACCTTCGCTATTAATATGTGAAGCATCACACTTTCTCTCAATAAAAAATTCCACTAGGTCAGAATGGCCCCCCATTGCTGAGTACAGTAATGCAGTGTTATTGCTATTGTCTGGTTGATCAGAAGGAACGTGACACATGTCTACTAGATATTGTACTATAGATAAGTGGCCTTTATAAGATGCCATATGTATACTAGATACACTATTATCATCACCTTCATTAGGATCAATACCATATTGATGGATGAGTAGTTGAAGGATCTCTATGTGTCCACCATATGATGCAGAGTGTAATGGAGTCCAACCATGAAGACCACGATGATATGTGCTGTAACCAAACTTGTCAAGAAGCCATTGTACTTCATCTTTTAATCCTCTCCAAGCTGCTTCATGTAATGGCGTACTGGTATTCTCGTACCATAATGGATCACATATATCTAAAAGGAATTATCAATATACATGAATGAATCAATCACCAAATAATGGCATCACAATAGGTAGTGGAAAATAAAATTACATATTATACTCATGCACTTACCAATAGCTAAAAATGACTGCTGCAACTGTTGTACTGCTGAAAACTATTAAAACATTTAATATAATATTAAAAGATAATTACAAACCTTTCTTAGATTATATTGATAATTACCACATGTTAGTTCAGTGATACCAATACTAGCTAACTGTTTCTGTACCTCAGTAGATAGAGGAAACAATGCAGAATATAAGTAATCAGGAATATTATGTAGCAGCTGTAGTGAGCCAATACGAACAAAACTGAAGTATAAATTAATATTAGGAATATTTAGTTCTTTTGGTATTGCTCGACGAAAGAAGAAAAGGTCAGCTGGTGTGTAGTCATCACGATCAACTTTAGCAATCATTATTCGTGAACCAGGAGGAACATCTTTTATACCAAATTCCAAAGCATTAGCATCAGTTAATAAACCACCACTGTTAAGAAAATAATCCTTCAGTTTCTCTTTGTAACTTGACCAAGTCCTCTTTAATGATCGATTATCAGGCAGGAATACATCGACAAGTTTAACTATTAGTTCATAGTTGAACCATGATATGTACTTTTGTTGTAAAACCAAGAAAAGATCTTTTATGCTTTCAATGTCACGTAGCTCTTCTTTAATTCCTTGCATTGCAGCTTCATTATTTTTGTTTGGACCAAGTAAAGCATGTACACGTGTCTTAAGATAATCAATAACTTTTAAAAGGAGTTCAGGATTAAATGCATCTCTTGTTTCATTAAGAATATCAGAAAACTCCCATTGAAACTCGTATATCTCATCCAGAAGACGAAAATCTTTCACAGAAAGAGCATAAATAGAATCTATAAAAAAGAATAACTGTAGTGAAGATACCAAAATGATCAATGTAAATTATATAAATTTCACTAAAGGTCATCTCCAAACTGAATTAACATTCATTACCAATGCATGTGGTCTTATTGTTACATGTATGGAAATGGAATGTGATTGACTGCACCAGTGTATGAATAATGATTAAATTTAAATGATTTATTGTTACCGCACAGCACATACTTTTTGAGAGCTGTAAAATTTTCAAGTCATAAAATTGCACAAAGTTTATTTCCGCTAATTTATTCTTATGGTACAAGGTATCAGACAGTATAATTTAATCTGCGAAATAAATTTTTGGGCAAACCTGTTGTGCTTTCTGCTCCAATAGATGCTGGTAGAGGATGTTCACGGGCTATGCCTTCAGCTAGTGCAGTGTCACCTCCTCCTTCTTTAA